GCTGCAGGGTCAGGGCTGGGCTGCTTTACATCAGCAGAGGGAGGCCCTATTTGCATGTCTTCCTGCTACATAGCAGGCTCTGTGGTGGGAGCCTGTGAAGAGGGCATAGTCCAGAGCAGATGTGAGGGCTCCAGCGGAGTTTGGTGGCAATAACTATATTTGTGACAATATGTTTTTTTATTATATGACTGTACCCCTTATAAACACTTATAATCCAATTTATGTTATTCTTGCTCAGAAACAAAATATTTGAGGCACTTATGAATGGTAATTCTTTGTATAGATGTAAAGTTATAAACAAAATCATCAAAGGATTATACAGTGTCTCCAAGAGCTCATCTGTGGTCAGAGGGAGCCTCAGTGTCCGGGTCTGTGCTCCACACCATGGAACCAACCCCAGGACAGAGCTGGGCCTGCCTAGTGACATTTGTCTAGATAGATTCTCCTTCCTGTAATCACACTTTGTGATTTTGTTGTGTTCTGTCTTTTATTCACATCATACTTAGAGAACCAGAGTTCATGCAGATGAAATGTAAAGGATCTCTGAAATTATGTTTCAGTATTTCTCTATCTCTCTTTATCTATTGACACCTGCTTTTATTTGTAACCATCATAAGGAGCTATAATAGACAGAACCACTGCACCTATTTAAAGTGTGCACTTGATGAGTGCTGACATACATGTGCACCTGCACATTCACCACCACAGTGGAAATAGTGCACAAATATTTCATCCCAAAGCATTTCCTGCTGTTCTGATTTTTCGTTCCACTCCTTCCTTCCTCTCACCCTATGTCCAAGCAACTTGTGAACTTCTTTATGTTACTTCACAGTATTTTTTTTCTCATCTAGAATTTAAGTAAATGGAATATGCAGTCGGTGCTTATGATTCCTTGTTATACTTCATTCTGATCTTTGTTCAAAATGTGTGAATCAGGCACTCATGACTTTCAATACCGAGTAGTATCCCAATGTATGAAAATGCCTCTTTTTCAGTTTACCTGCTCATCGGAATTTGGATCATGCTCAGATTCTGGACATTGTAAAGTAAACTGCTGTTGGATTACAAATTTAGAGATTGAGTAAAATATTTTTTTCTTATTGTTTCAACAAACACAACAACAATAGCAAGTCCACTGAGTAAGGGACAAATTAGCACATTTTCTTAAACAAATCAGAGAGTAAAGTTAACATAACAAACAGCAAACCTGAAATCAGGTTTGACAGAGTAGTTTTCAGGGAAAAGCAGGATCAAACATTTGCTCACCTGGGTCAGAGATCACTAGATGGCAAACACACTAGAATAAGGGTGAAACTAGAAATATTTCATGAATGTCCAAATGTCCAGTGTGCTAAAGCATCAGAGTGTGAATCTGCCAGGATGCACACATCTGTAGGGACCCTAACTTCTTTCTGGCTTCTCCAGGGTTGGGGAGAACCACTCAGCTCCTACCTCCTGGGGTGGTGCTCAAAGGGGAGAGGAGCAGCCCCCTGCCTAGTGCTCCAGCACCTCCCTCAGATCCTCCACACAACAAGTTATCAATGTGCACGGGAGGCAGCCAAGCCAATATTTATGCTTTACATTTTGAGAAACTGCTGAACAGTTTTTCGAGGTGGATATACAATATTATGTTCTCACCAGCATTTTATGAACAGACTTCCACATCTTCATCAGTATATCTTATTATTCCTCACTTTTATCATATTCATACAACGTGGCACAATACAGAAACTTAAAATATAAAAGAACCCGCATACTGAGCACTGCATGTTATTAATTCCACTTATGAAAATTATACAGAATAGGAATGCATGGAGACAGAAATTAGGTTAATGGTCACTGGACTGGGATAAGCAGGGGGAAGGGAGGACTGGAAAGTGACACTGAAGAGACGTGTTCATTTTGGGATATTCAGATAAACTAATATTAAATTCTGTCTGTGGTTGCACAAATTTTGTTAATTATTTTGTGAGTAACGTATACTGAAGTCTTCTAAACTGTACACTTTTATAGGTAGATTTTATCATAAGTAAAGTACATTTCAATAAGTTTAAAATTCTACACATCATTTTCAAATATCAATACAGTTATACAATTTCATACCGTTTATAAACCCCATGAAACATACGTTTGTGAAATAAACAGCAAACATATTGTGCTGCCAGTAATTTAAAGGATATGAGTGCATGAGAAATTGCGTGGTATTTTGATATAGTCTTATTTGTTTATTTTCTCTTTTGTTTTTTGTGCTTTCTGGCTCATGTTCATAGAGTCTGTGCACACACCTAGTTCCTGAATTGTTTCACCTATATTTTGCCTTTGTGATATTTAAGTTTCAGGTCTTATAATTGTCTTTAATCCACTGTGAGTTGAATTTAGTACACGGTGTGAGGTAAATACCTAGTGTCATCCTTCTGCTTATGGACATCCAGTTTTCCCTGCATCACTTGTTGAGAGGAAGTCTTGTCCCCAATGTAGATTTTTGTTGCCTTTGTCCAATATCAGATGGCTGTGAGCCTGAGGGGTGATTTCTGTATTCTCAACTCTGCTCCACTGGTCTGAATGTCTATAGTCAGTAATAATAGTGTCTATAGTCAGTAATAATATATTTCAAAATACCAAGGAGAGTAAGTTTTAAATGTCTTCCCCCCAAAATTATAAGTTGATGCGAGGGATATATTGACCAGCTTGATCTTGTAAATCTACACAACTATTCCAGTTGTCGAGAAGGCAAAACATCACTAGAAAAAAATGTCTCATTATATTAGTTATACTATGTTTCCATTTGTATTGTCAGGGCTAGTGCTCAGACCCATTAAACCCATTGTACAAATTGGGTCGCAAACCCCTCACATGCCAGGCTGGGTCACCAGACACTTCACACACAGGTCCACGCTAGGTAATTGGGAAAGATCCCCGGTAGATAACATGAGCTCCATCTTCAGCAAAAGCAGCAGCAGCAGCTTACAGGTCCAGCAGCTGACCAGTCTGGTGTTGGAGGAGGTGGTGGTGGCAGCGGCCTTGCAGAGGGTCCCGGGGGCACTGGAAGCAACAGCTTGGATCAATACCCTCCAGCAGTAATAGAGGCTTCCCCATGGCCCCTGTCGGCACCCCATGGGTGGGGGGAGCACCATGGATCAGAGCCACTCATCCTTTATACTTAACTCCATAACCCAGGTCACCGGGATGCACATGCACAATTACATTAGACAATAACCAAGGAACACCTGGGCGCACGTGCATATTTACATCAAATGCTCAGCAATATTTTGAAAATCTGAGGGGACCTGATCATTTTTCTATATTTTCCCAACAAATCTAATTATTCCACATTATATATACATTTATCAAAACATCATTCTGTTCCCCATAAATGAATACAATTATGACTTGTCACATAAGATGATATTAATAAAAAGTGAAGGAGATATAGCCTCTCTCAGAACACACAGTGGTAAAGGATCAAGGCGTCCCTCAGAAATCATGAATGAGCTGAGGACAGTGGCCAGTACACCTTCTATTCCACACCTTCAATGTGACAAGTGGAAGTAAACAAGCAGCAACCAGAAGGACACATAAACACAGCCCTTTTCTCCAGGTGTCACACGAGGAGTTCTGGGTTCAGGTCTCACATATAAGAAGCTTGGACGTCATCGCTCCCATCCAGACAACAATAAAAACAGGGAACAAAATGAAAATTGGTGACAATTCTTGTATCTGTAAAAGAATTGAAGTCACAGTGTGAACCGCTGTCCCCAAAAGTGAAGATGCAGCCAGGAAGACACAGAGGGTCACAGCTTGTCTGATTAGAAACTCATGAGCAGAAACCTCCGTGGGATCCAGGACTGGGGGAGATAAACCAGAGCTGCAGCTGAAAAATTGCTGAAGAGTCAGAGCTGGGAAATCTGAGAGTTGGGTGCAGACTAGTGGAATGGTCTTTAGGGATCCCCAAAACTTTAAACTCTACCTCAGGGGCCCAACCGTGTTCTCCTAGAAAATATCGGAGAAGAATCTCCTGTTCACAGCAGAGAAAGGGAGGAAGGAGCCATTCTGAAATACACCAGAGCATGACCTTCTCTATAAGAAGACTTGGCCTTAGGAGAAGCGAGTTTAGCTGATCCTAATAGATTGCAGATACATCAGAGCATCATTGACCTAAGAAAAGAGAAAAAATGAATCCCCTCCACCTCCCTCAAGAGATTTGCAGTCTAACCCTAACCCTAAAGGGAGAAGCACATGGGAAGGTCCCACCCAGCACACCGCTCACTAATGACAGAACACATCCTAGGACTGTGCACTGCTTCCCTACCACACACCTTACCCACATCAACAGGGCTTCTGTATCATGACAGAGAAAAACTAAAACATAACATGCACCTTAGACACGATTTAAGAAGTCTCTATGAAAATGTAGTCCACAGAGGAGACAAAAACAAGGACATCAGGGGACATTTTATGGACTCTGTTGCTTGTCTTGTCATCTTATCACGTCTTGTCTCTGACAGACCCAGCCCAATATTCAGCCCAGCAGGTTTTTATCTCTGTGCTTGTCACCCTGAACTCTTCAAATGGAAATATAAGAGCTGTGTCTGGCACTCGGGCATCTGCTTCTCCATCCAGGACACTGGAGGATGGACAGAGAGTGGGACAAATCCTGAACATCAATGTCCACAGTGTGGATGAGGATCCAGAGGATAAACTGCCTCATTGAGGATAGAGACGCCATGGGCAGGGGTCCTGTAGGATGATAATAACCACGTGGGTGTAGCTGCATTTATTTAGGGACATATTCCCTAAATAAATGAGAGGACATTTATTTAGGGAAAAATGCTGATTTAGAGACAGGGCACTCCTGGACAGCCGTAACGTTTGGGGAAAATAATAATAGATCATAATGGTTTGTGTGTCAGGAAGAAAAAAGTTTAAAAAAAAAAAACAACTCAAGGAAGGAAACTCCCCAGTGAAAAGAACCTTCTCATCTGCACATGAGGAAAGTTACTTCACTCTGTGTTGCCTGCAGTGAGAATGTGAGAAATTAGAGTCACATAGGTTAAAGCAGAACATGACCCTGAGGGGCATCTGGAGTCAGCAGAGCAGAGGAAACCTAAGATCCCCAGAGGAACCCCCCATCCCCTCTCTGCACCTGCTCCATGGAGCACAGGAGCTGGGTGGGCCTTGTGCGCCCCCTGCAGCCCAGTCCCCTCCTGTATCCTGAAGGGAGGTTTGTGTCTGGGCTCCTGCTGACTTCCTGTCACTGTGTCTCTGGCACAGTAATACACGCCTGTGTCCTCGGCGGTCACAGAGCTCAGCTGCAGGAAAAACTGGTTCTTGGACGTGTCTCTGGTGATGGAGGTGCGGCTCTTGAGGGATGGGTTATAAGCTGTACCACCACTACTACCGATTGCTGCTATCCACTCCAGCCCCTTCCCTGAGGGCTGGCGGATCCAGCTCCAGTCATAACCACTGGTTGTGATGGAGTCACCAGAGACTGTGCAGGTGAGGGACAGGGTCTGCGAGGGCTTCACCAGTCCTAGGCCCGACTCCTGCAGCTGCACCTCGGACAGGACACCTGGAGACAAGGAGAATCAGAACGTGTCAGTCACACACAGTAACAAACATCCCAGAATCCATGTGTGACATCTGAGACACTCACCTAGGGAAGCTGTCACCAGGCAAAGGAGAAGAGCCCACAGTCTCATCTTCTGTTAGATCTCAACTCTGCCTTCCCCAGAGACCTGAGACCTGTCTGAGGACAGACCTGTGAGCTTCCACCGCCCAAGCATCCACATTTATCTTAGAGCTAGAAAGAAAATTTGCATGTGGGAGAGCTCTGTCCTTATAAGTTCTGAGGAACTGAGGTGGGAATCATTGTAATTTTTTAAATGCTTATATGGAATTTTTTGTAATTATTTGACATGTATTTATGGTATGGGAGGGAACTTGGTGAGCTACATGGCATAATGTGGCCCCAGCTTTCTGAGCCCAGATCTACCTTCCTTCAACCCCTGTGTTCTGTGCTGACTTGGACCCAGCCCAACTCTCTGACATAAACTCAGGCTCTGGGTCTTGCTTCTGCAGTTCTGATCCCAGCACAACCCCTGCTTTCTTTCCCTGGACCCTCTCCTGTGATGTGGTTCTCATCACACCTGAGAGCTTGTTACTTGTTACATTGTTGCTGTTACATGAGTTCCAGACCTGCCTTGTGTTTTCCATCCTGCCATACATGAAACAACACATCAGAACCACAGAGACTCTGCAGAAAATGGTGCCCAGTGCGTTACTGAGGACACTGATTCTCAATATCTGGGAAAGATAAAAATCTTAAATGCCTCCATTCCATGGTCATTCCTGTCCACCTAAAGTGTACAAATGTTCAACTTAAATTCACTTCTCACTCACATTTTATATATTTTATTCCTTCATTTAATCCACCAATCTTATCCGATATCAAAAAATAAAATCGATTACAATGGTTAACATGAAAGCAGTAATAACATCCCATTGCGAAACTTTTAAAAACAAATTTTCCCTTGATGTCCACCTGTCTGTGGGCATGAGAGCCAGTCCATGTCTGTGGGCATCACTCTCTGGATGACTGCCCACCACAGAGAAAGAGGCCAGGGGCTGGGCTGGATGCTGTGATTTGCCTGCCCCTGTCACCGCAATTTCAGCCCCAAAGACAGCTGCATGTCAAGGAGGGACAGCCCTTCAAGAGTCCTGAATGAATGACAAGACAGGAGCTGCTGATGTGCAATTTGGGGATGATTCTTCAGGTCATGTTTACTCAGACACTGTGTAGGAGTTTTATCAAAATGTTAAGAGACCTGGTAAAAAAGTGACGATAAACAAAGACTCTGAAGTGATAAAGCAAGTATTAGAACCAGAATAAGATATGACACAGATTCTGGAGTTGTCATAGAGGATATTTTAAAGTAACTCTGTGTATGTGCATCTATGTTTCAGTTTTTTTCAACCCTTCAGCTGACTCTACAGAGTCCTAGTTGCCCACCTCTGTTTGTCCAGGAGAACTTGTCAGGATGCTCTGCCTCATGGAGAAACAGCCCAGCATCTCAGTGGAATAAGGTACAAGAACAGAGATCTACAGCTTGCTCATTTCTATTCTAACGTGCTCAGGAGGGAAGTTGTGGTGCAAAAAGGTGACTGATTCATAACATCACTCAGGAACCCAGACTCCACTGGTGTGAGTCCCCAAATCTACAACTTGTGGACAGACAGGTAACAGAAAACAGAATTTGAGGGAATGATGAATTTCAGGTGGAATGTTTTTTTTTTCTTTTCTTTATTTATTTATTTTATTTTGTTTTATTTTTTTATTTTGTCAATATACACTGTATATGATTATTATGGCCCATCACCGACACCTCCCTCCCTCCTCCCTCTCTCCCCTCCCCCCCAAGAATGTCCTTTCCGTTTGCTTGTTGTAACAACTTCATGGAAGTATAGTTGTTATATCTTCTTCCCCCCCCCGTTTTTTTTTTTTTGTGTGTGTGTGTGTGTGTATGTGGGTGAATTAGTTTGTTTGTTTGTTTGTTTTTTTGTTTTTTTTTTTTACCTCCCACCAATGAGTGAGAACATGTGGTATTTCTTTTTCTCTGCCTGACTCGTTTCACTCAATATTATTCTCTCAAGGTCCATCCATGTTGTTGCAAATGGCAGTATCTCATTAGTTTTTATAGCTGAGTAGTATTCCATTGTGTAGATATACCACATTTTCCATATCCACTCATCCGATGATGGACATTTGAGTTTTTTATTTAAAAAGAAATGCCTACCCTATTAATCAGCAGTCCACTCCTAGCATTCACCCAGGAAAATAAAAATGTATAATAATAAACAGACTTGTAGAAAAATGTCCAAAGCAGCTTCATTCATAAGAATCTCAACCAGGTTTCCACCAACAGGAAAACAGACTTAAGAGAGAAAATAAAAAAAAAAAATAAGATAGTATATCTAGATAAAGGAATATGACTCAGCAATCAAAAGGAATGCACTATTGATAAACAAAATAAAATGGATGAATTTGAATAAGATTATTCTGAGTGAAAAAAGGATTACACAAATCTGTTTATATAGTACGATCCTATTTACATAATATTTTAGAACAGACAAAACTATACACAGTGAAAAATATCAGAACATTGGTGGCTTCAAAGGAAATGGAGGCAGAGATTGACAAGGAATAAGTCAGAGGGAACTTTTCTGGGGATGATGACATCTGTATCTTCATACATCTGTGTTTTGACACTTTTTTTTTCTCATTGAACTCTGTTTTAATGGATCTCAAAATTCTGTGATAGATTTTTGGTCATGTTGTTTGCAATGAGAACTATAAACCACTCCTGAGAGTAATTAGAGAGGATACAAGAAGATGGAAAGACATCCCATGCTCCTGGATTGGAAGAATCAATATAGTGAAAATGACTATACTACCCAAAGTGATATACAAATTTAATGCAATCCCCATCAAAATTCCTATGACATTTCTCACAGAAATGGAAAGAACTATACAGTTATTTATCTGGAATAACAAAAGACCACGAATAGCCAAAGCAACGCTGAGCAAAAAAATAAAGCTGGAGGTATTACTCTACCTGACTTTAAACTATACTACAAAGCTATAATAACCAACACAGCATGGTATTGGTATAATAACAGAGACTCTGATCAATGGAATAGAATAGAGCACCCTGAAATCAACCCACGCACTTACTGCCATTTTATCTTCGACAAAGGCATTAAGCCTATTCACTGGGGTCGGGACTCCCTCTTCAGCAAAGGATGCTGGGATAACTTGATATCCATTTGCAGGAGACTGAAACTAGACCCATACCTCTCACCATGTACTAAAATCAACTCAAAATGGATCAAGGATTTAAATATACACCCCGAAACAATAAAACTTATTAAAGAAAACATAGGAGAAACCCTTCAGCAAATAGGGCTGGGCACAGACTTCATGAATATGACCCCAAAAGCACGGGCAACCAAAGGAAAAATAAACAAATGAGAATGACAAATGTTGATGAAGGTGTGGAGAGAAGGGAAGGCTCCTTCACTGTTGCAGGGACTATAAATTAGTACAACCACTATGGAAACCATATGGAATTTTCTCAATCAAATACAGACAGAACTACCATATGATCCAGCATCCTACACAAAGGGATGGAAATCATCATGTCTAAGGGACACCTGCACTCCCATGTTCGTCACAGCTCTGCTAACATTAGCCACAATGTGGAACTAACATAAATGTCCATCAATGGAGATTGAATAAGGAAAATGTGGTATATATTACATGATAGATTACTACACTGCCATAAAAACAGAATGAAATTCTCCCATTTGTAACAACATGGATGAGCTTTGAGGAACTTATGTTGAGTAAAATAAGCAAAGCACAGAGGGATAACTACCGCATGCGCTCACTGGTAAGTGGGAGCTAAGACAGAAAGAAGGAAGGAAAGAAAGAAAGACCACAGTGGTGTGTTGGACTTGCAGAGGGAGAGAACAGACCTAGGGAGACAAAGTAGGGTGGGAGAAAGTGGGGGAGAGGGAGGTTAGGGCAATTGAGTGGGGGACATGGTTTATAATTGAAATTTATGATAATGGGCATGAAGCCAGTATGGAACTGGCTATCATATCATGCATGGCATGAGTGGTGACAATCAGCTTTGTGCCCAATGAAAATTTATAACCAATATTACAGAAAAGGTAATAATTTATTCCTTTTTTTCACTATTAGACAACATAGATATACAAATGTCAGTAAATTTGAATTTGATAGATTAACAACTCTTTCCAGATTCATAGAAGTGGTAAATTGGCAATCACCCAAGTAATCATTTTGTTTCAAAAACAATTTTACTTTCTTATAAAGTTAAAAGCCTAAAAAATAAAAAATAAACTTGTGGCCCTATCCACCTCCAGTATTTGATATTTTCAAGCCAGTTGCTGTGACTCAGCAGATTGACCATATGACTTTTCTTGACTCCCATGATCCAGTGATTTCAATTTCTGACCACACCTGTGCCTGGGGAAGACCTTCCACTGGTCACACAATGCAAAGTCCACCTGTGTCCACTAATACATAGAAAGCAGCTAAAAGCTTCTTGCTGGTCACTGTTGTCAGGGTGTATCCCTGACCTCCTTCCTGCTCCAAGCCCCTATTTCATAGAGAGATTTTTCCACTCTGTGTCACTCACCTGCTGTGGAATGTGTTTATATGCACAGGCCTCAGATTCCAATTTATCATTTAGCACATTATAGTATATTTGACAGTATCCTTTTTTTGACACATTAAAAATTGAGTTTACAAGGCTAATCACTAACATGCACTAAAGGAGAAATAAGTGCATCCAGAGACAGCTGAGAGCTACTCACCTGGACCCAAAGCCCATGGAACCATTAGCTTATAGACATGCTCAAATGCTATTTTTAATGAATTGCTGGAGAAATAGTGTGGACAATACTAGAGTTAAAAACTCATTGGGGAGTAGATTTAGAGAGGTGCCCACATGGTATCTACTCGACATTTTCGATAACACAATGAAAGTAGATAAATCAAATATATGAGGTAAAGCAAATAAAACCCTTTTTCTTCAGTTATGAGATGATGAATGCTATTTTTTTCCTGGTTTTGATTTCTGTAAGAAGCTTATACATCACCACTCTATCCATGCAACAGGAAGAGGCTGAATGAACTAAAAATAACAACTCTTTTTATATTTCTCAGAGAAGTGAAGTCACTGATAAACTGAAGTTGTAGTCAGGGGACAGTTTTTAATTAATAATCTTAAAATATGTATGACGTTTTTCCTGGATAATACTTTTTTATAAGTATTTGTGTGTGATATTGTCTTCCTTTTCTGAAAGAAAATTTAAGCCACAGATTAAAAAAGGGAAAAGTTACCTGAATGGACATTTCTCAAAAGAAGACAAGCAGATGGTCAAAAGGTGTATAAAGTAAATGCTCAACATCGCTAATCATCAATGCACAAATTTATATCTTCCCACTCCTGTTAAAATGGCTGTTATCAGGAAGATGAAAAACTGGTGAATGCTGCTGAGGATGCAGAGAAAGGGGAGCTGTTGTACACTGTTGATGGGAATGTAAACTAGTGCAGACATTATAAAAACTTTATGGAGATTCCTCAATAAATATGGTAAACTAAAATTAGAACAACCATAAGACCCAGCAATAACAGAGGAAAGGAAACCAGCACACCAAGCAGACTTCAGCACCCTCATGTTAACTGTAGCATTATTCACAACATGCAAGACATGGAATCAACTGAGGTGTCCATTAACAAGAGGAGGGGATACAGAAAAGATGGTATATACACAAACAGACACTACTCAGCCAGGAAAATAACATCCTGTTATTTGCAGCAACATGGATAAGCTTGGAAGTCATTCCATTAAGTAAAATATGTCAGGCATGGAAAGATAAATGCTCCATGTTCTTACTCATATATTGAAGCAAAAACTATAAGGAGCACACAACAGGCCCAGTTTCAGGAGTTTTCTTCCGAGGAACAGAGGGTGAAGCCTACACGTGAGGACAGGCATTTCCAGGGTGCTCTCTCTGGCTCAAAGCAAGAGGATTGGGAAGAAACACCCACACTCAGTTTCACTGGGAAAATAGAAAGAACCAGAACAAATATGCAAAACCCCAACCTTAGCTACATCTAAAGAAACTGTCTTCTACTTTACTTGTCAGAACATGAACAGGATGAGGCACTTCCTAATCTCCATGGAGCTGTTGAGATGGAGACAGCATTATTTACAACAAAACTGTGTACAGGCACTTTAAAAAATCTGGATAAATCAATCGATGAGACCTTTCCCAACATGAGTCCAGTCTGACAAGTATGAGAATCAACGAACATGAAGACAGAGAGGAATGTGTTCCAGTCAAGAGGACAAAAATAATCTCCAAAAAGAAACTCAAGGAAAGTGCAAGTATGTGATTAACCTGAGAGGGAACTACAAGTAATGGACAGAAAAAGTGTCACTGAAATCAGGGCACTCATGAAGGCACAAAAGAAGAATTTCAACAGAGAGATAAATGTATAAAAACGTAACAAACACAAGTGATGAAGTTGAAGAATACAATGAATAAACTGAAAGAAATTCAACCCAAGGTTTCAGAAATAGTCTAGATTCAGCAAAAGAGAGAATTGGTGAACTGGAAAGAAGGTCAGTGAAAATTGTTTGACCTGAAAATCAAAATAATAGTATTAAAGTAAAAAAATAAGAGCAACGACAGCAGAAGGGCTTTATGGCACATCATGAAGTACAATGACACGCACATTATGAGATTGTTAAAAGTAGAAGAGAAAAAAAAGTTGAAAGAAACATATTAAAAAAAATAATTGCCCAAAACTTTTCAAGCCTGGGGAAGAAAAGAAAATTTCAGATCCAGAAAGCATGAGATAAACCAAATGAGATGAATCAGGAGGAAAAACCTCCCAGACACATCATAATTAAATTGCCAAATGGAAAAATCAAACAGTTTTAAAATCAGCAAAGGAAAAGCAAATACTTATGTGAAGAGAACCCTATTTGAAGTCAGTGAATTCTTTAAAAGAAACCATACAGGCAAAACGGAGCATGAAATGAAATGTTCAAAATTCTGATAGAAAAAATAAACTGACGAGCAAGTATATCACACCCTGTAATCTTGTCTTTAAAAATAAAGGGGTGACGAGAAAATTTATCATCACTAGAACTTCTCTACAACAGATACTGAAGGGAGTATGGCAGGCCAAAGAGAGAGGACGGTAACAATTTAAAAAATAATATGAAAATATAAAACTAAATGGTGACAGCACAGACATTGTCAGATCCAAAACACTCTAATTTGGTAATTGTGGTAATTCTGTTAAATATTTCACATAAAGTTTAAAAAGCAAAACTATTACAAACAACTAAAGCTACAATACTTTATTGAGGGAAACTGTATTAGTCCATTTTGTGTTGCTATAACAGAAATACCTGAGACTGGGTAATTCATAAGGAAAAGAGTTTTATTTGGCTTATGATTCTGGGACAACTGTATTAGTCCATTTTGTGTTGCTATAACAGAAATACCTGAGACTGGGTAATTCATAAGGAAAAGAGTTTTATTTGGCTTATGATTCTGGGACAGCTGCATCTGGCCCGGGCCTCAGGCTTTTTCTAGTCTTGGTGGAAAGTGGCAGGGAGCCAGTGGGTACAAGCAGATCACATGGTGGGTGAGAGAGAGAGAGAGAGGAGGTGCCAGGGTCTTTTAAGCAGCGAACTATCTGCACTCCCTGTTTATTTTACTATTATTTACAATAATGATATGGAAATATCCTACAAGTTGTTAGCAGATAAATTAATAAATAAATGCAATATATATGTGTGTGTATATATAATGCAAAGTTATTTGACCTTAAACAAATAGTAAATATTGCCATTTGTGACAACATATGTGAACCTGAATATTAAGTTAAGTGTAATAGTTCAGACGATGAAAAAAAAGGATTGCCTGATCTCACTTACATGTGAAAGCTTCAACAATCAAACTCATCACAGTGTTTATCAGAGTCCGGTGGAAAAAGATGGAAAGATATGCGGGACGAAGTGTAAACATGTTAGGTATAAATAAGTTTTTGAGATGTAATGGACAACCAGGTCACCACAGCTAACAATGTCGTGCTGTATGCCAGCACATGTGTATTGCTTTTCTTAAATATAATATAGTATTATATTTTATATCTTATAGTTTCAACTGCTCCCTTCTTTCCCTGGCCTTTTTTTTTTTTCATTTATTCCTTATTCCATATTTATAAACATGTGAGATGTGGTTACTATTGCTTTACACAGCACATGATACTTTAGAGCAGTTACAAATATAAAATATTATATCCTGTGTTTATATTTCAGTTTAAATTTTCTTGATTTAATTTTATAAATTGACATTTCAATATGTGCCTTTTACCCTAAAAATGTGTTGCATCATTTGTAGAAGGTGAATGTGCTGGCAGTAAATTCCCTCAGGATCTTTTTCTCTGACACGGTTTCTGTCATTGTTGCAGCTGCTCTTAAAATTTAAGTACACCATTCTATCAATTTTTCTGCTTGCCTGATTTAACATCTTGCTGTGAGTAGT